TCAAGTTTGGATTTTATAAATCACAACCTTAAATCACAACCTTGGCGTAAAAAGTGGCGTACGCAAGTTTCTGGGCTCAAATTGTGCGTCTGCAAGTTTTATAAATTTGACCCCAGAGCAGTTTCTGGGTCCTGAAAGCTAAGAACTGAAGGAGGTGGTCTTGGGTTTCCCAGGTCTGAATGAAGAACCTGATCAGCAGGGTTTACCTGCTGCTGGCCACAGGCAGACAGATCTCAAACTTTGCCAGAAACTGGAAGTACTGCTCCTCTGTCTGCTGAGTTAATCCTGTTTGTCTCAGCAGATCCTGCAAAAGGCAAGGAGGACGTCAGTGGACTCGTTAGACCACATCAAGTTAAGTCCAGAACCTCCCATCTGACCTTGAGCTTCTCAGCCTGGATGACTCCGTTCCTGACAAAGGGACAGGAGGATCTGAGGTGAATCAGTTTCTCCAGACAGTCGGAGAGCCAGACGGGACACAGGAAGTAGAGCGTACACAGGCCGTGACTGGTGTCAGGGAAGTGCAGCAGGGTTCCCGTTTCTATCAGGAAACTGATGGCTGCAAGAAGACAAACAGGACAAACAGGACAAACGGGATTAAAATTAAAGTTTACATTTAAAGACAAAAGAGGAAATCTGCTCCTAAACTCATCCTGAATTTCAGAAACCTATCTCATGAARCCCCGAACAGATCTGAATGTTGGGTCAACTTTTAAAGCCAGAACAATTCAAGATGGCCACCACGGTAAAAAAAAACTTCAGTTTTACTGATTCTGGCTAGACACAGTCACAGAGTTAAAGTTTAGGCTGGTAGTAGCTGAGAGTCCTCCCAACACATCCTCTGACTGCTGGCAGCTGGTCAGGAGGAACTTTGAGAACAAGAAGAGTTGAAATGTTAACAAATGAGAACAGAAGCCCTGGAGAGGTCTCAGTACCGCTCTGCAGGTCCTCGTAATCTCTGATGTCACTTCCTGGGTTCTGTTCGATGATGCTGTCCATCTGGGTCTCTGTCAGGTACTGGACCTGTCCCTCATCAGCTCGTCTCTTCTTCTCTGCAGTCACTGCGTCCTGAAGAATGAAGTAGCTCCTGGGAATCTGTAAGCAAAATATCTGCTTTACCCCAGGTCTACATTCAGATGGAACAGATTAGGATTAAATTTTTAACCTGAAACTCACCAATCTGCCCAGAAGTTTACTCCCACAGGCTGAGCTGTTGTCCTTCATAGAGACAGAGACCTGGTACACCAGGGTCCTCAGACCATCAAACCCCTCCAAGGTTTTACAGGACACCTCACTGTCAGAGACAAGAGACAGTCTGTATAAGAGGACCGGAATTAAGACTACTGCTCAACCAGTGGTTGATCCATCCTTGTAGCAGGAGGTTATATCTATTCCTAACCAGCTATTGATCTGGTTAATGATAGGCCGACACCGCTAACTGAGAGGCTGGAGTTGGCCAATGAGAAGGAGACTATTCATTTGTGTTAGCATCAGAGAGTCTAGCAACTAGCATGTATAAGCTGGTGTTAGCATCAGAGAGGCTAGTGACTAGCATGGGTAAGCTGGGTGTGGCTGCCCGAATCGTACCGGAAACATTGTTTTTAGCATGTAGCGTTTCGTTAAACTTATGACAGATTTAATTGGATTTCAGTCTTTCATCAGATGCAATGTTTCATAGAAAAGACAACGTTTGCAACAGCTGAGGGGTTTTATTCCAGGAAAAACATAAAGCAAAGATAAGATGAGTTATAACATGATTGTCATGAAAATAGTTAGCAAGTAATTATAAATAAATATTTACGCATCATAAATCTATATTTTATTAATCAAAATATTTTCAATATTAAAACTGTTTTCAGAATATAATGTAACATACCTTTATAATTAAGTATAGAAATAACTATTTTCAGTATTTTTTCCTAAATCGAGCACATTCCAGAAGTCTCATTAAGCGCATGCTCAAATGAGCTGACGGTACGGATCGTGCTACCGGGACGGATCGGGCAGCCACACTGGCGTTAGCATTAGAGAGGCTAGCAACTAGCATGGATATGCTAGCATTAGCATTACAGAGGCTACCTACTAGCATGCCTAGGCTGCTCACCTACTTTATAAGACACAAAGGTTTTTAAATAAATAAAACTTTCTCTACAAAAATGGTTGACATACAAACCTATAAGCACCATGAACTGACAGGTGTTCTTTAGAATTTACTGTTCAACATGACGTCAAGCATAAATATTAAACATAAAACATATTACTGTGAAGCAGTTTTAGTTACCACCTGAATTAGCAGCTGTCTATTGGATGATGGTGGAGTTTTTTGTTTTATTCTTCTCTTGTTGTTTTTGGCAAACGCAGATAAATCCGGTTGTAACTAAAGCTGTCAAATCTGTCTCACAGGTGCCTGAGTCAACCGACTCCTCAGCCTGAGCCCTGCCCCCCACAGAAAAGCTGGAGACCTCTTACTGCAGGTGTTTACAGGTGATGTCGGGGTACCCTCTGGCCCGAGCTCCTGAGGGCGACCGACACAGAGCCAGCACGTAAGCTCTCAGCGTCGCCAGCCTCTCTGTCCGAAACTTGGTGTCAATCAGGTCCAGATGTGTTCCCACGACCACCACCGCAGAGTTTGGTGCTCGTGCCTACAGATGGTCACGTGACAACAAATAAAATAAAATAAATGAGATATATTTAACCAGTACCAGTCCTCTGCCCCAAACATTCACCTCGATGTTGAGCAGCCAGGTCTGCAGGTTGGCCACAGCCTCCTCTCCCAGAGCCAGGTTCCAGATGACCACATACAGAGCCTTATCCGTGAAGAAACACTGGTTGACCGTGGTCATGCTGGCCGGACCCCCAACATCCCACACGTTGAACAGGACCGAGTCCCTCTGTATGGAACCAGAGCAGAACTTTCAGTCGGTGGCTGGGGGACTCATGTGAGGTCATCTTTGTGTTCCTCACGTTATTTTTGCTGCTGTTGGGTTTCTCCAGCTCCCAGCAGAACCTGGAAATGCTGCACTCTGCTGGGGTGAAGGGGGACGGTTTTCCTGTCAGCAGAGCCTCCAGGAGTGTCGTCTTCCCCTGCCTCGGGGGGCCCACCACCAGCATCTTCAGTTGTTTACAGGGCTCGGCTTTACGAAGATGTGCCCTGAGGAAAGCCAGGACAGACGCAGCTCCTGAAAAAACAAAAACATTTCACTTTCCTGGTGCCAAGGATCTGAAAGTTCAGTCACCATCCAGCAGCTGACCGGTTCCATCAAGTCCTGACCCCCCTGATCTGGTCTGAAGCAGATCAGTGGTTTCTGACTGAGTCTAACCTTCGTTCCTCACGGTCTGGGGGACATTAGTGATGTTGAGGTCTTCGATGTCCAGCTGCCACAGGTTGGGGAGCTGACCCAGTTCTACTGGAAGTTCTCGGATCCCAGGATTACTGTCCATCAAAGAGAGCATACTTGTCCATCAAAGACAACATACTGTCCATCAAATACTGTCCATCAAATACTGTCCATCAAAGACAACATACTGTCCATCAAATACTGTCCATCAAATACTGTCCATCAAAGACAACATACTGTCCATCAAATACTGTCCATCAAATACTGTCCATCAAATACTGTCCATCAAATACTGTCCATCAAAGACAACATACTGTCCATCAAAGACAACATACTGTCCATCAAAGACAACATACTGTCCATCAAATACTGTCCATCAAAGAGAACATACTGTCCATCAAAGAG